GTGTGTGTGTGTGTGTGTGTGTGTGTGTGTGTGTGTGTGTGTGTGTAGGGGGGTTGTCCTGTGGCCTCTGCTGCTGCACTCCCAAGTGCTTACTGCCCTCTCCCCTTCTGGTCCCCACTTCTCCGCTTAGAAGGCTAATTTGCCTCCACTGGCCGAATTCGTTTCTCCTCTCCCGCTGCGGGTCCCTCAAACTCTCCACTTTTGCCAAGGCTTTGTGCGCACTTAGGCGAGCAGTGCAAGAGCTAGAAGGAACCCAAGCCATCCCCAGCCCAAACCCTCTAGCCGCTGGGCCCCCCCATCCCCTCACTCTGGGGGCACCCAGTTCTAACCCTTTCCCTCCCCCTCCGGCCATCCCTCCCTGGGCTCCTTCGCGTGCGCCCTGCGCAGCCCTAGGTCTGCTGCAGGAGCTGCCACCACCTCGCCAGCTGGCTGGGGACCAGGCGGGAGGTGGCGCGACCCAGAGGCTGCAGGAGGTGGGGAGGGAGGGAGGGAGAGAGGGAGAGAAGAGAGGAGGAGAGAGGAGGGAGGGAAGCCGGTCCTCGGAGTAGCCAGCTTCCCCCACCCCTCCGCCCCCGTCCCTCCCGCCGGAGCGGGGCCGTCAAACGCAAACACGCGCGCACGCACACCCGCGAATACATACACTCCGGCTCCCTCCGGCGCGCACGCACTGCGCCTCAGGCAGACCAGAGCGGCGGCTGCCTCTCCCGACTCCTGGACGCCAGAGTCTCAGGATCCTCGGGCAGCTGATGCGCCTCTGCCCGTCCCCATCCCTACCCTTCAGTTCCTCCAGGCCCGCGGGACCTCTCCCGCCGCCGCCGCCGCCTCGCCCGCCGCCCGGGGAGGAGCTGGCTGGCCGGCCGCCGCCGCCGCGCAGTTGCCTCGTCGCCCCCGAGGTAGCTCCGTCGCGGCTCCTGTCCTGCTCTTCGTCCTGTTCCTGAGCTTCGGAGACCGAGCGGAACAAACTTCGCAGAGCGGCTGTCGCGCGGCGGGCACCCCGCGTGCCCCGCGCGCCCAGGTGGGCACGGGGCGTTCGGACCTTGGGGCATCGGGCTTCCTCGTCGGTTGCCCGTGCTAGATAGACTTTCTCCCCTGCTCGCAGGGATTCTAGGGACGCCTTCCCCTTAGGAAACTTTTCTGTTCCCCTAACCCAAGGGGGTGAAGAGAGCTAGAGGGAGAAGTAGGTCCCCGCGGGGCAACCGCCACCCTGGAGGCGATTAGCTGGGCCCCGCTAGCCGGGGAGCGCATCCAGAGGGATGCCGAACCCCTCCCCGGGTCGCCCTCGGTCCTGGATGCCGATCCTGATCCTGCTACGGCCGAGCCCTCGGGCTCGAGGGGCGAGGTGCCGAGGTCCAGGCAGCCCGCGCGGAACGAGCTTGGGCTCTCCATACGCGCGACCCTCCGCAATGGGGCAAACCGCCTAACCCAGGCCTGGCACAGAATGTCCCGGTTCCAGAACCGCTGGCCTCCGCGCCCAAGCAATGCCATAAACATGCCCACCATCTCTCACGTCTCTGTGGTGGTCACCAAGCCCATGGACCCCGCTGAGATCGCTGAATCAGTTGCTCTGGGTGCGCCCATCGCCGCCGAAGAGCCCCCTGTGCCCTCTGTGCCCGCGGAACTCGCCGCGCCCGCGGAACCCGCTGCGCCCGCTGAGCTCGCTGCGCCCGCGGAGCTCGCTGCGCCCGCGGAGCCCGCTGCGCCCGAGGAGCCCGCTGCGCCCGAGGAGCCCGCTGAGCTCGAGGTACCCGCTGCGCCCGCTGCGCCCGCTGAGCCCGCTGAGCCCGTGGAGCCCGCGGAGCCCGCGGAGCCCGCTGCGCCCGCGGAGCCCGCTGAGCCCGCGGAACCAACTGCGCCCGCGGAGCCCGCGGAACCCGCTGCGCCCGAAGAACCCGCTGCGTCCGCGGAACCCGCTGCGCCCGCGGAGTCCGCCGAGCCTGCCGAGCCCGGGGCGTCCGCTGGCCCCGCGGAACCCGCAGAGTCCGGAGAGCCCGCCGAGGCCTCAGGGTCCCAGGGGCCCGCGGCAGCCGGCGATGGCCCTCAGCCCGAAGGTGGTGAAGTTCGCGAGGACCCCGAAGAGGACTCGGAAGATACTTCCACCATCAGCTGCGGCGTCTGCTGTTACCACCGCTTACAACTTCGACTCCAGCGCAGGGGAGGCTTCGTCCGTGCGGCGCTGTTTTGGGATGCGCGCCGTGGTCTGGCTTGGCTCCCCTTCGGCAGCTCCTTCTTCGCGGCCATGAAGCGGCAGAACGTGCGTACCCTGTCCCTGATCGCCTGCACCTTCACCTACCTGCTGGTGGGTGCCGCGGTGTTCGACGCCCTCGAGTCCGACCACGAGATGCGCGAAGAGGAGAAACTTAAGGCCGAAGAAGTCCGCCTCAGAGGCAAGTACAACATCAGCTCCGATGACTACCAGCAGCTGGAGCTGGTCATCCTGCAGTCCGAGCCCCATCGCGCTGGTGTCCAGTGGAAATTCGCCGGGTCCTTCTACTTCGCCATCACCGTCATCACAACCATAGGTAAGGCGGGTGGGGTGGGTGTGCCGCCACCTGGCTCCTGGGAGACACGGGAGGAGTCGGGGGGAGGGGTAGCAGAGGTAGCTCCCACTGAGCGAGGCTGGGTGAGGGCTCCCCACGTTCAAGAGCGCCCCCCCTCACCCATTTCCGCGTCTCACCTCTCTGGGGGATGATCTCACTCCTCCAGGGGACGCTATCTGGTGCCCCACGCTGCTCTGGGCCGGGCTTGTGAACTCCCAGAGACAGTCTCAAGGGTGGAGGCGCCACTTTTGCGAAGAGTGTAGCTCTAAGAATAACCCCCAAGCAGACACCCACCCACCCTAACGCCCATGTGCTGGCTGCGCTTCCATGAGTGGGATCCAAGCTCGTCGGGCTGTGGGAAGGAGTGGCGCCAATCCCTCCTCACCTGGGAACTTGTTGGGAGCCGAGATTTCGGCACCCATTAGTCTTCTTTTGAGTTGTGGAGCGTGTTAGGTCCCGGGGGAAGAGTTTTACCCCTTGTGGTAGGGATGGGGGCGGCAGCAGGTGACCCGCAATGCGGTCCTGGTGGGGTGGCTAGGGCAAGCGCTTGTTTGCTGCCGTGGACTGGGTGTGGACCCAGAGGAATCTGGAGGCGGTTTGAAGGCTGGGGGAGTTTAGCCCCCCTCTGGGGGAAAGAATCCCTCTGATACAAGGTGGGCTTGTGTGTAGATTCCCACCCCACAGGTCACTTGTCCACAGAGCTGTCTCTGGTGGCTCTCTATGGCGGCACCTCCCCTGAGGCTGGGGTTTGGGGGGAACCACCTCTAGATTTTTACACAGAGACCTGTGGAAATGGGGACGCCACACTTCATCCCAGGAGATGTGCTAGATGCCCTTCTGGCAGGGGGCAGAATGGTGTCTCTGGATGGCTGCTTGCCCTGTCGTGGCAGAATACCTTGGGGCATCCCTTTGGACCTGTGAGGGCCAAAATGTTGACTCAAAGATGGCCCCCTTGGCCCCTGTTTCACGTGTCTTCTTCTACTGGACCCCTCCTCTAATTTTTCCATCTTTTTTTTTTTTTTTTTTTTTTTTTTTTTTT